AAGTGTGCGGAGAGAGAACCAGGTTTGATTTCCCACTCCTCCACTTGCAGCTGCTGGATGACCTTGGGCAAGCCATAGTTCAGTCAGAGGTGTTCTTGAAAAGAGCAGTTTCTGTCAGAGCTCTCTCAGCCCCACCTACCTCACAGGGTGTCTGTTGTGGGGAGGGGAAGGGAAAGGAGTTTGTAAGCCACTCTGAGTGAAGGGCAGGGTATAAATCCAATTTCTTCTTCTCTTATTACTATTATTATTGGCGTCAGGGAAGAAACAGGGTGCTATTATAGCTTCTCATTGTGAGTGTCAGGGTCCATTGGGAACTATGAAAGACCCATGATTCTGAGGCAGAGTCAGTCGGAGTCAAAAGTCATAAGATTCTGGAACTTTTGATGTTTTGGTGATTTGTCATGAGGAAGGATGTTGGAGTAGGGCAGGTCATGGGATCACCTTTCTATACTCACAATTCTTTTCGTTCTTCTTTCCCTCACAACCTAGACTTGTCTGTGCGTGTGACCTTGCCACCTCCAAACCAGTGTGTTATCTGTCCATTGCTACTGATGCTGTAAGTGATACCTGGCCCTCACCTGATTCTCTTAGCCACACCTCCATGTCCTAACTCCACATTTGTGCAGCTGTTATCCTATCAGCAGAGATGGCAGCTGGCTAGATGACCTCTGGGAATGGTGCAGCAATACTGCTAGAGTGAAGATGGAACAAAGGAACTTTAACTCTCAGTTGAGGGGGATTCCTCAGTTGGGATTGGCACAGGCAAATGGACCTGCCTTTGCCTGAACTAGGCGGGAGCACATCCGGCCTGTGTTGAAAGCACTGCACTGGTTGCCAATAGCATACCGGATTCGCTTCAGAGTGCTGGTTCTTACCTTTAAAGCCCTATATGGGCAGGGTCCGACATACCTAATGGACCACCTTTCCCCATATGTTCCCCCAAGGGCACTATCGTCGGGGATGCAACATCTCCTGGTGATGCCAGGCCCCAAAGATGCCAGGTTTGCTGTAACCAGGGCCAGGGCTTTTTCGGTGGCGGCTCCTACCTGGTGGAATGAGCTCCCGGAGGAGATCCGGGCCCTGCGGGACCTTGTGCAGTTCCGCAGGCCCTGTAAGATGGAGCTCTTCCGCCAAGCTTTTGAGTAGGAGCCGCCACTACCGCACCACCACTACTGCATCACCATTACCGCACCATCATTGCCGCACCACCACCACTAACTGGGTTAGGTAACATCTTGGTGTGTGATGGCCCTGTGACAAGTTATATATAATACCGTGTGGAACCCATACCACTGAATTGAGTCTAACATTCCCAGGAGGCCATGGAATTGGGACTACCATCCCCAGGATACCATCTTGTGATTGAAAATCTTTTTGTAACATTTAGAGCACTTTATGTTGTAAATGTTGGTTTTATCTTGTTTTTACTGTTTTTACTACTGACATATGTGCCCTATTTGTGAGCCGCCCTGAGCCTGCTTGCGGGGAGGGCGGGCTATTCATTCATTCATTCATTCATTCATTCATTCATTCATTCATTCATTCATTTAATATATTTGGCTTATATACCGCCCTGATCCCGAATAAATAAATAAATAAACTACCCTGCACCGTCCAAAAATAAGCACTCAAATGATAGCTCATGGCACACGGAGCATAGCTCTTTTTTCCCCTTAATTGGTTTTACAGAGATGAAGGCTTGAGTAGACATAGAAATTTAAAGGAACTATTCAAGAAGCAGGCTTAGTGAGTACGGATGGCTACTTCTGTGATCATGAGGCTGAGGGGGTTTGAACCCCCGGCCCTCCTTGCCTCTGTTAGTGGTTGTCCTTTCAGGGGTATGCTTTAACTGGCACTTCCCAAGTCTTGGGTAGCAAATGTGTGTAAGAGGTGCTGCTAGTCCAAAAGGGTGGTGTGTCAGACTCAAGTAGACTACAGTTGATGCCCCCTGAGCCCGCCACCATTCCCTTTCTTTTTAAAACAAAAACAACAGTCCTACCGGAATGCAGTACCTAACTATTGCTCTCACCCCAATTACATGCTAACATCTGACAACTTAGTAAAATTTCGTGCAGTTCTTCACTTCTGAGGAACATCAATAGGCACTTGCTCATCTGAAATTAGGAAGAAGCGCTTCCAAGTCAAAGGAGATGGGGATGGCTCTAAAGTGAGTTTGAACCCAAGAATCTGTTGGGGTGGTGGTGGTGGTAACCAGTGGTCATAGCCCAGCCCCTCTTGGCCATCAAATCCTTCCAGCTAGCTTAAATATCCGTCCCTGCTCTCATCTTGCATAGCAAGTCACCTGAAATGACCATGCTGCCTTTAGGTATCTCACGTATCTCAGTATGCATATTGATCTTCAATAAGATTTCACTGGCCCCTGCCACACGGCCTCTTTAAGGCGCGGCTTTGAAAAGCCGCACCAACGTTGACACGGCGCGGCGGGATCCCACGGATCCCCCGGGCACGCCGCCTTTTCTCCCCGGCGCGATCAAACGCTGGGGAGAAAACACAGCCCTAACCGGGGGCCGGCCGAACTGCGCATGTCCGAGCATGCGCAGTTCGGCTCCGGCCCGGGGTTGTGCCGGCGCAAGGACGCGCCGGCGATCAAATGTCCGGTTTGCCGCGGCGCGTCCATTTGAACCACCAAAGTAGGTGGCTCAGTTTGCACCGGCTCATCCCGGGAAAGGGGCAGTTTGGGTACGGAAGCCGGACGCTTCCCAGATGTTGTGGTGTGATCGCGCCGGTTTGATCCGGCCCCAAACTGTCCCGCTCCCGGACCAAATCGGTGAGTGTGAACGGGACCACTGTTGCCCAAACTCTTTTTATTTGGCATATGCATCCAGGCTTTGTTAGACTTTATTAGGCTTGCTTTATATTGTTACCCAAACTAGACCCAGAAAGGGGGAAATTAGCTTTAAAAAGGGTTCCAGAAAGGAATTATGCAAGACCTTGCAGCCTCTGTAAACCAGGGTGACTCTCAGTAATGGTACCCCAAAATAAAATTATGAAGAAAGGGAGTGGGAGTGACTGTAAACACAAATAACTTTATTGCATACAAAATAAAAAGGAATGCAAATATAAAGAACCTACAATAGGCACCTGAGAACTAATACTGAGAACTAATGCACACATGCACCAACATGCACACACATATAAAAGGTAGGAGGGAGGAAACTGGGTAGTTTTAGGAAAGGGCCATATGACCTTACATCCTGGGCCTCAGGTCTGGAGAGGTCCAGGGGCAGATGTAGCTGAGGTCCAAGAAGCAGAGCGAGGAGCCAGCTAGGCAAGGAGAAAAGGCTTGCGCAGTCCAGCAGGGGTTCTCAGCAGTTCTGAACAGCAGAGATCTGGACCGTGGATCTCTGGCTATGGCATGGGGTCCTTCTTTTATGGACAAAAGACTCCCAGGGTAGGTGACATCTGGGCCATCCTGGCTTTGGATTGGGTCAAAATAAAAATGTTGAATCTCACTGGCTAGTTTAAAGTTAACTGCTGTTAAAATTTGGCAGGAAAAAGAAAAGAAAATGCCTTGATGTGAACCAAATCTGCATGGGCACGAAGAGCCTGGGTGAGGCAACATGATTATCATACTTTAATTCAGATTCAGGTGGGGTAGCCGTGTTGGTCTGAAGCAGCAGAACAAAGTTTGGGACCAGTGGCACCTTCAAGGCCAACAAAGTTTTATTCTGGGTATAAATTTTTATGGTTCGGCTGGAGGAGGGTACAGGCCGGGTCCTCACATAGACGTAGGTTACTGTCTGTAAGAATTGTTTGTAGTTTTGTATCTTTATAAAGCCAGCTCTGTTGGCATGGCGTTCACCACCACCCTAAATGTCTGCATCCACTTGGAGACTAGGAAGTGCTCTTACCAAACAACATTGAGATTAGTGCTTCAGCTCTTAGAATGAGAGCCCTGTAAAATGTGTTTAACTGCCTCTTCTTCACATTTTCAAGCAATCTTACTTATTTCATTGGCTTCATTCGTTCTCCTTTCTGTTTCTCAGCTCCCCCCCTACAGTTGCTGTCAACTGAAGCTACATTTCATACATTTTTCACAAACTGCATCCCATCCTTCCCTCAAAAGGGAGCCAGTTTGGTGTAGTCATTAAAAGCGTGGACTCTAATCTGGGAGAACCAAGTTTGATTCCCCACTCTTCCACATGCAGCTGCTGGTGTGACCTTGGATGAGTCACAAGTTCTTTCAGAGCTGTTTTGTCAAGAGCAGTCCTCGAAAGAGCTCTCTCAGCCCCACCTACCTCACAAGGTGCCTGTTGGGGGGAGAGGAAGGGAAAGGAGATTGTAAGCCATTCTGAGACTTCTTTGGGTAGCAAAGGGTGGGTTATAAATCCAACCTCTTCTTCTTCAGTCCTACAGTTTATAAATTCTCCTACAAATGCTATATTTTGAGAGCCAGTTTGGTGTAGTGGTTAAGTGTGTGGACTCTAATCTGGGAGAACAGGGTTTGATTCCCCACTCCTCCACTTGCACCTGCTGATGTGACCTTGGGTCAGTCACAAGCTCTGGCACAGCCGTCCTTGAAAAAGAGCAGTTTGTGTCAGTTCTCTCAGCCCCACCCACCTCACAGGGTGTCTGGTGTGGGGAGGGGAAGGGAGAGGAATTTGTAAGCCGCTCTGAGACTCCAAGTGAAGGGCGGGGTATAAATCCAATCTCTTCTTCTTCTCTTCTCTTCTATATCTAAAAAAGCAATTGTGCTCATATGTGTATCTTGATTAACTGAAATGCAGTCAAACTGAAAAACTGGCTGGCATGGCTTTAAAACCATGTGACATTTGAAACTAATGGCGCAGGGCCCATTCAGAAACTCTTGTTTTACACAGGGAATCCCAGAAGGGCTTTCTTTTCATGCCTTCAACCTCTGTCTCCGGGGGTGGGGGGGGGAGTTCCACTTATGAGCTGTTGGGGTCATTTTGATAGTTTTGCTTCAGTCCCAAAAACTATTTCTGTACAACTTTAATCCTTGACTGCCATTCTTGCAGCCCGGAAATTCCAGGCAGCCAGCAGGCCACAGAGGAATTCCATCTCGACTGGGACACTGCTCTCTCCAGCTCCCTGGGGGTTGTGGTGGTTCAGTTCGATGGCCGAGGCTCTGGAAACCAAGGCCTCAAGCTCCTGCATGAAGTCAACCGCCAGCTGGGCTACTTGGACATCAAGGACCACCTCACGTTGATGCAGTAAGTCTGCTCAAGCCCTTTTGCTTAGGCCTTAATCTTTACATGTTGCTTATATTTCAGCCACAGGATGGCAGTGCTGATCCTCCTGTAAGAGTTTCCCCCACCTTTCATTAGGAAGGGACAGGGGAGGGGGAGGTCAGTACAAACAAACAGCCAGTGTTCTTTAACTCCGTCTGTGCTGGCACCCTGCCCCTGGAGAATACCACAACTGGGATCTACAGCTGCTGTGTGCTTATCATTGCAAAGCATCTCAGAGTAGGGTTGCCAACTCCAGCTTGGGAAATTCCTGGAGATCTGAGGGCAGCATCTACAGAGGGCAGAGTCTGGGTAGGAAAGGGAGTTCTGTGGAGTTTTAATACTGTAGTGTCTGCCCACCAAAGTTGCCATTTTCTCCAGGGGAATTGATCTCTGTAGTTTGGAGATCACTTGTAGTCCGGGGAGAAGTAACCTGAACAACCCTAGGTCTAGAGTAAGGTGTTCACATGCCGAACAACTGCAGTTTCATCTTGTAAGTGCCAAAGATATCGAAATACATGGTTTGTCAAGGTCAGGAATATGAGTCCCTGTGAGCAGGTAATGTATGCTGACCCCCCAAGCCTCATCTGTTGCAAAGCTGAGAGACAGAAAATGATATATGCAAGAGTTTTTCTTGACTCTTAAATTATTGCTGGTGCAGGTGTCTGTTTTTAGTTATTTCGCATTTAAAGGAATTGTTCTGGTTTTTGTGTATTGCATTACAGTATTTCCATCTGATTTTTATTGTAAGTTGTTTTGAACTTATTCACAGAAAAACACATGACTGGGAGAAATGTTTCAGCTCTCTCATACTAAACTAAATCCCACTAGTATGCCTTTCAGAATGTCCAGCTCACTGTGAACCAAGAGACAGCCCTGCAAACCACTTTTTAGCTAAAAGTACTTTTGATTTATAGTGCTATTCTAAGGATGTTTTCCTGGGAGTAAGTCTCACTGAATAGGCTTGAGTATGATTCTGTGTAGATCTGCTTAGGATTTCTCACTCAGTGCAATCCTAAACAGAGTTACACTTCTAAGATGACTGACTTCAGTGAGCTTAGAGGACTACAGCTGTTTAAAGATTGAACTGTGTGTCAGGTTTTTTTGCTGAACAGAAATGATAACCAGGATCCCTGTCTCACTCTGCATTGGGATGCCATGGGAAACTGCCTTCTGCTGATCCAGGCTCTTGGTTTATCAAAGTCAGGACCAGTGTTCCCTCTAAGCTGAGTTAGTGTGAGCTAGCTCACAGTTTTTTAGCCTCCGGCTCACACATTTTTGTCTCAGCTCAGGAAGGATGTGGCTCCAGAGCAAACTAATTTATGCAGTAGCCAAATCGCTTGCTCACAACTTTAATGCTAGTAGCTCACAAAGTAGAATTTTTGCTCACAAGACTCTACAGCTTAGAGGGAACATTGGTCAGGACTGTCTCCCCTGACTGGCAGAACCTCTCCAAAGTCTCAGGCAAGAGGTCTTTCATATCACCGCCTATCGGACCCTTTTTAACTGGAGATGTTGTGTGGACTGAACCTGGGACTTTGGGGAAGGGCCATGGCTCAGTGGTAGAGCACCTGGCAGGCAGAGGGTCCCAGGTTCCAGATAAAATGGTACTGACCTCCTGGATGAACCAATGGTCTGATTCAGTATAAGGCAGCTTCATGTGTGTCTATGACTTCCTGCAAGCGAAGCAGCGGCACTACCACTGAGCCATGGCTTCACCCCAGTAACAGTGTACATTTTTCTGATTGTCACAAGCTCATAGCAAAGAGGAGGCAGGGGGAAATGTTAAAGGTCTTAAGAGTCTTAAGTAGCAGAGGAGTGCTTGGGAAATGGAAACCTTTGTAGCAAATGCAGGGGTAAGAAGGAAGGCAGTGATAGGTTGCAGAAGGTGGCAGGGGAGGGGGTTGCACTAACAAGACCTCTCCTTGTATTGCAGGTTGCTGCTGCAGCTTCCTTATGTGGATCGCAGGCGCACAGCAGTCTATGGAAAGGTAAGCATTGCCCCTGGGCACCCGGGTGACCTGTGGCTACTTTCAGTTTACACACTGGGTCTGTATAGCACATGCAGCCTATTGGGCACATGGCCTTTCTACTGACAGCCAAATTTCTAGCCCAGAGAGCATTTGGAGTCCTTCATGGGCAGTACAGAATGCCCCAAAGGATGCTTCCTGCAATGTATCCAGTCCAGACAAGTCCAGACAAGTCCAGAGACAAACACAGAGCTTCTCTCCAAGAGACAATGGACTATGCGGACCCTAGCCCGCTCCAATCAGGGGGCTAGGTTCCCGGCCAAGAGCCTATGGGACTCTCGGCCACTGTAAATAACCCATAGGGAGGTAGGGGTGTGTTTTGGGTGGCAGTTTCTCGGGGGATATAAGCCGGCCTGCGAGCCGGCCAAAGTCGTCTTGTTCTGGATAGAATAAAGTACGCTTTGCTGAAATCATTCTCCGTCTGCGTACTTTTCACTTCCCAATGGCAAGTCATCCTGCATTTGTACTGCCCACACGGGGCTTTGAACAGGAAGTATTTAAAGGACAGAGCTAAGATAGAAATTAACGCAATTAACTGAGTTTCTAATACCAAACTACAAAGCTGCATTTGAAGGAGTAGGCCCAATGATACAGAAAGCACTACGCGCGCACGGGGTGTGTGTGCTTTGTCTCTCTGTGGGGCAAATTCTGTGGGGCAAATCATTCTTTGCTTGACATTGGCCACCATCACATTCCGTTTGAAACCAGTTGTGCCAATGATAGTGCACTGGGACAGAGATCGTTTGCATGCAAAGGAGAGGTACTTCCTAGCATGGTACTACTATGGCCAGTTTGGTGCTGTTTGTATTGTGTTCTTTGCAGCGGTCTTTCCACTTTGCTTGGTGTTATCAGCAATCAGCACTGGAATTGATATGCTCATCCTTGCATGGCTTGTGAGTGTTAGAGGTCCACCTGTCATTTGCAAAAGCGCCATGATTGGTGGGAAGAAACCGATTGGTGGAAGCATCTTTAGTGATTCTGCCTGATCCATGTTCATCCTGCTTGTGTAGGAATTTGAATGGCTTGTGTCTATAAATCTATTGAAAGAGCAGCATTGAGTAGAACAAACATGCTGCTCTCTCTCTCTCTTTCTCATTTTCTGTCCTGGCAAAGAGCAACAGCAAACAATAGAGATTAAATTGTAGTCTTAGTACCAATTGTGAAAGCAGCCATTATTGCCATTGGGAGGAAGCAGGAGGTCAAACACGTAGACACAAATAGGGTTGCAAAACTGAATAATCCACATCTCACCTACAAGTCAACTTAACCTGCACTAGAGGCATGAGTGTTTTATTCTCTGCTGTTTCTGTTGTGGTTTTGTTTTTTTTAAGGCCTATGGGGGCTTCTTAGCACTTAAGCTCCTGGCAGTAGCAGAAGACCTTTTTAAGTGTGGAGCAGCTGTAGCACCCATCACTAGCTTCCGCTTCCATGGTGAGTAGCAGCAAGGTTAGTGGATTGCCTGTGCTTGTAAAGGAAAAATGAAAAGGAATCCAAATCTGAATTGGTGGTTAAAAAAATAATAATAACCATCTGTAAACCTGTAAGTTTATAATTGTATTTTCATAATTTCTAAGATCTCTCAGCCATGATTCCTGCTACTCCTTCCTTCTTTTGGCTAAGTAAAGAAGCATCCATAAAAACATAATTCTGTATGAAGAATTGCTTGCAAACCTGGAGAAGCTGAGGCAGAGAGAGAGGTTTGGAGAGAAGACCTTGAGGGACTTACCAGCACAGACCCCACTCTCGCACTAACCGCTGTTCTGCTGTTGTGTAGAGTGAGAGTCTCAAGGGTGGAGGGTGTCCATCTGAGGAGGACCTATGTGATCCCTTAGAAGGGACTCCTTCCTTCAGTGACAGACCAATATCCTCTTGTACATAGGATACCCCTCTGGGGTTGGGGGGAGGTGGGCTTTTGGTAGTGGGTGATTTGATTATTAAGAATATAGAGAACAGGGTCTGTGACAGACATTTTGACTGCATGGTGACTTGCCTGGCTGGTGTGAAGGTTGTGGACACCATGCGCTGCCTAGACAGGTTTATAGATAGTGCTGGGGAGGAGTTAGCAATCATGGTGCACCTTGGCACCAGTGACATTGGGAAATGTAGTTCTGTGGTCCTGGAGGAAAAAAATAGGTTACCAGGCAGAAAGTTAAAGGCCAGGGCTTCAAAGGCAGCAGTCTCAGAAGTGCTACCAGTTCCACACACAGGGGCTGCTAGACAGTCACAGATCAGGGGTCTCAGGAGGAAGGGTTTAGATTTGTTAGGCACTGGGAAACTTTCTGGGACAAGCCAAACCTGTACAAAAGAGATGGTCTTCACTTGAACCAAAAGGGACCCAGGATGCTGGTGACTAATATCAAAAAGGTGGCAGAGCAGCTTCTAAACTAGTCATGAGGGAAAGCCTGGGGCTGGGGAGCCTCTGGTTCAGGACAAGTCAGTACAAAGGGATGTTTGCATAAACACTCAGGGTACTATTGATAGGATCATAATAGAACTTGGGAGTGAGGGTAGGATGGCAAAGGAGAGCCATGTCTGGAGACAAAGGGGCCAAGGGAGATTAAAGTTGCTGGAGACAGAAACACATGATATATGCCAATGATAGAAGTCTCCAAGCCAAGGTGGGGGAGTTGGAATGCTTGGTACTCAATGACAATTTAGATATAGTAGGTATCCCTAGAGGAATCTTGGAAGCTATTTAAAACAACACTAACTGAAGCCCAGATAGAATGCATTCCACTGGTTAGAAAAGGCACTGCCAAGTCTAAAAGAACACATGCATGGTTAACAATGCAAGTCAAGGATGCTATAAAAAGTAAGGAGGCTTCTTTTAAAGATTGGAAGGTCTGCCCAATGAATTGAACAGAAGGGACCACAGGCTCTGGCAAACGAACTGTAAGCATTGTTGTTGTTGTTCAGTCGCACAGTCGAGTCCGACTCTTCGCGACCCCATGGACGAGCTCTCTCCAGGCCTTCCGGTCTTCTGCCGTCCTCTGAAGTTGGCTCAACTTCATGTTCGTTGCATCGATGACACTGTCTAACCATCTCATCCTGTAAGCATTAGGTATGCAAAAAGAGAATCTGAGGAGCAGGTTGCTAAAAGCTTCAAGAAAAATAATAAACATTTATTTAAATACATCTGGAGCAGGAAACCAACCAGAGAAGCAGTTGGGCCTCTGGATGACCAAGGAATAAAGGGATTGCTAAAGGAAGATGGAGCGATGGCAGAGAAGCTCAATTAACTTTTTGCTTTTGTGTTCACTATGGAATGTGTGAAGCATGTACCCATGCCACAGCCACTATTTTCAGGAAGGGAGTCTGAAGAACTGAGTCAAACTAAGGTGATGACAGATGACGTTCTAGACCTATTGGGGAAATTAAAAATCAGTAAGTCTTGCATACACCCAAGAGTTCTTAGGGAACAAAAATGTGAGATAGGTCATGTATATGAGTTAGTAGATCAACTATCACTAAATTCAGCCACTGTATCAGAAGACTGGAAAGTAGTAAATGTTACACCAGTTTTTAAAAGGGGATCTAGAGGGGAACCAGGAAATTAGAGGCCAGTCAGACTAACATCCATCCCAGACAAATTAGTAGAAACTGTATTCAAGGATAGGATTATTAGACACATTGAGGAACAAAGCCTGCGGAGGGAAAATCAGCATGGCTTCTGCAAAGGCAAGTCCCGCCTCACCAGTCTTTTGAAGTTCTTTGAAAAATTGAACAAGCAAATAGACAACTGTGAACTGGTAGACATTATATACTTTGAACTTTCAAAAAGCTTTTGACAAGGTACCTCACCAAAGACTCCTGCGTAAACTTAGCAGTCATGGGACGGGTTCTCTTATGGATTAAAAACTGGTTAAATGAAAGGAAGCAAAGAGTAGGAATCAATGGACAGTTCTCACAGTGGAGGGGAGAAAGCAGTGGGGTCCCACAAGGATCAATATGGGGCCCGGTAATACTTCATTTGTTCATAAATGATCTGGAACCAGGGGTGAGTAGTGTAGTGGCCAGGTTTGCACATGACACAAAATTATTCAGGATGGTAAAAACCAAGGATGGCTGTGAAGAGCTCCAGGAGGGCGACAATGTGGCAAGTGAAATTCACTGTAGGAAAGAGTAAAGTGATGCACATTGGGACAAAAAAATCCCAACATATAGGCTAATGGGGACTGAACTTGCTGAGACTGAGAGGAAAAAAGATCTTGAGTCCATACTAGATAGCTCAATGAATGCATCAACCCAGTGTGCTGCAGCACTGAAAATGGCAAACTCTGTGTTAGGGTTTGTTGGGAAAGGGATCGAACATAAAATGGCTGATATTATAATGCCCCTGTATAGATTTATGGTGCGGCCTCATTTAGAATACTGTGTCCAGTTCTGGTCTCTGTATCTTGAAAAGGACATTGCAGAGCTAGGAAAAGTACAGAGGAGGGCAACCAAGATGATTAGGGGGGCTGGAGCACCTTCCCTATGAGGAAAGGCTGAAGATTCTGGGACTTTTCAGTTTAGAAAAGAGACAACTAAGAGAGGACATGATAAAGGTTTATAAAATCATGCATGAGCTGGAGAGAGTTGACAAGGAGACATTTTTCTCCCTCTCCCAAAATACTCACACTTGAGGGCATACAGTGAAGCTGATGGGCAGGACTGACAAAAGGAAACACTTCTTTACACAGCAAGTGATTAAAATTTGGAATTTGCTGCCAGAGGATATTGTGATGGCCACAGGCATATTTAGCTTTAAAAGGGGTTGTGTAGACTCATGATTGGCCTATCTGGTGACTAAAGGGAACCTTCACGTTCAGAGGCAGTCAACCTCTGAATCCCAGAGCCAGGAGGCAACGTCAGGAAAAGGCCTCAGCTTCTATGCCCTCTTGTTGGCCCTCCAAAGGAACTGGTTGGCCACTGTGCCTGACAGGATGCTGGACTAAATGGCCCACTGGTCCTATCTAGCAGGGCTCTCTTATGTTCTAACCTGACTGCTGAGGCTTGTCAAAGCACAAATGCCCCTTATCTCTTACTTTGGGACACTGTCATTGAGACTGTCCCATAGGGAGATGCTTCTTGGAAGAGGTCAGCCCTATAGCGCTGTAAACATTCCATCCTTTCTCTCTTTCCACAGCTGCCACTTTCTCTGAACGTTATTTAGGGATGCCAGCCCGTGAGGATGCAGCTTACACGGTACGGGTACCCAAGAGGTTTTCCTCATCTCTGTCTCATCCTTCCCCCTCTTTGCTGTGCTAAATGCAGTAAGAACTGAGAGGTTTTGTCTCCCAGACACCATTTTGAGTGCTATTTATGCAAGAGATTCCTTCTTCAGTCTACAAACGGCATTGGCCTGCAGAAGTATGACCTGATTTCATCCCAAGATGGGACAGGTTTTACTTGCCTAGTGCCTCCAAGGGGAGGCTGATCCTAAATTAATTTGATTTGTTATTTATTTTATTCCAGATTTTAAAATTACCATCCTGCTGACTAATCCAAAGGGTTCTTGCATTCACTTACAGTAAGAAGATAACAAAGATCCAAACTAAAGGATAAACTTCAATACATCCAACCCAAACGCTGCAGGCAAAACTTACACAGAAAAGTCTTTGCAGATTTCCTAAAGATAATATCCTAAGGACAGCAAGTATAGATGACAAAAACCTAATTCATCCTGAAAGCAAATGAATACTAGTCCAGGCCCAGCATTAGGTAACACACAGGTCAAGCTCCTAAAGAAAGATTAGTGCATGGATGCGAACACATGTGCATATGTGCTACTGCTTCCATCTCTAACAAATCATTGAAGAAAACTTTACTGGAGCTACTGTCTCAAGCTACTGTTTCAAAGGACAGGGTAGCTTCTATTGTTAACCAAGCTTCTTTCCTTAGCTTTGTAAAACATAGGATGAGGGCTTCCACTGTAGTAGTATGGCAGGGAGTGCTCTGATTCAGCTTAAAAACTAACTTATGAAACAAATTTCAAAATGACACAAGTTGTTTAAAAACTAACTTATGAAACAAATTTCAACATGACACAAGTTGGGAGGAGGAATACATCACTCTGTGTGAACAATACCATAGGCACCTGTGTTGTTTGTGCAACCACTGTCCAACCAAGTATTGCAAACAGCAATAGATTTTCTGACTTGAGGAAACCATTGAATATCCTCAATAGCTAGATTTTGAATGTTTGGATCATTGAATGCCACCATATTGGAAGTGCTTGCTGGGAGAATGTTGCCTGGAATGTGTGTGGCAACCATGTTTTTCACATGAGGCATAGCAAAGACACGACAGCCCACAGAGACAAGCTGATCTGCTGTCCCTAAATACAGCCAGTGTAGTGTATTGGTTAGAGTATTGGACTGTGATCTGGGAGACTTGAGTTTGAATCCCTGCTCAACTGTGGAGGCTTGCTGGATGACCCTGGGCTAGTCACACATATTCAGCCTCACCTACTTCACAGGGTGGTTTTGGAAGGATAAAATGGAGAAGAGAAATCCACTTTGGATTCCTATTGGGGGAGACCAGACACCTTTTTGGCAGGTCAGCATGGTGTAGTGGTAAGTTTCAGGCCAGGATCTGTCAGACCCAGGCTCGGATCCTCACTCTGCCATGAAAATTCACTGGTGACCTTTGGCCAGTCACATCGTCTTAGCCTAACCTACATCACAGGGTTGTTGTGAGGATAAAATGGAGGAAGGGAGGATGTTGTAAACCACTTTGGGTCCCCATTGGCAAGAAAAGTAGGGTATGAATGATGCAAACAAACAATAAGCAAGCACTTTGGGTTGAAAAGCAGAATACAAAAAACCAACAACTACAGTATAAAAATAGCATAAAAGTGCAACAGAAGCAAGAAACTGTATTTTAAAAAAATGGAATCAGACTCAGGTAGAAGAATGAAAGGGCTGGGCTTTAACTCTTTCTGTGCCACCCACTCCATTTCCTCCTCTAGGTGGCCTCTGTACTGGAGGAAGCCATCCGCCTGAAGGACAGGAACTTCTTGCTTGTACATGGAACTGGAGATGGTAAGGCTGAACGTGGATCCACTCTGATGATAATGTTCAAGGATGGTAGGAATTGTTGTGCTTCTAACGGAGCCTCTCAGACCATGTTGTTATGAATGGCTGTATGTCCTCAGTTCTGTCCTTAGGGAACACCAAGAAGAGCTAAAGTGAGGAAGGAACAAAAATATAGACTCATTCTGTTTTGTTCCAGGTATACACATAAGAACTGTACACCTGAAAATGTAAAATGTGAACAATCCTGAAGAAATCTGTTTGTAAACACATGCATCATATATACGTAGGTATTCATAGGGAAGTTTGGATTGGATGTGATTCTCTGGCATGTCTTCGATGTAAACCCAGGCTTGCCATTGTGTGATATGTGAAAGTGTCCTCTTGTCCCATTTGTTCACATGAACCATAGTGGGTTTGGACTCGCACTTTTCTTTCCTAGGAAATGTTTGTCTACCACAAGGAGAGCCAAGGAAAACTCTAGGATACCACATAAGGATTTACTGAGTGGGTTTCTCCTGGCAGAATGGGCACACTTCTTTGCTCTGGTTCTTGAAGTTGGCTGCAAACTGTACAGAAGTACAACGTAACACCCTCCAGAAGAAGTCTAACTGCAATACCCATACTGTGTGTATGTATTCAGGCTAACTTGGTGTAAGAACAGCTACAGCAAGGAGAGTGGGAGTCAGTACCTTGAAGATATATGCATCTTTTAAACAAGCGACCCTTCACCCAAAGAGTGATTAACACATGGAATTCACTGCCACAGGAAGTGGTGGCGGCAGCTACAAGCATGGACGGCTTCAAAAGGGAATTAGATAAGCATATGGAGCAGAGGTCCATCAGTGGCTATTAGCCACAAGGTATAGATAGGGGCTCTGGGGCAAGTGATGCTCTGTCTTCTTGGTGCTTGGGGGGGGGGTCAACAGTGGGAGGGCTTCTAATGTCCTGGCCCCACTGGTGGACCTCCTGATGGCACCTGGTATTTTTGGCCACTGTGAGACAGAGTGTTGGACTGGATGGGCCTTTGGCCTGATCCAACATTGGCGTCTCTTATGTTCTTATGTTATCATGTGTGAAGGATCCTGATAAGCCATTTAGTCCAATCTTCTGCTCAGTGCAGTCAAGCTGAGGAGCCCCCGAGGACCTCCAGGCCCCTCTAGCTTCCATCGGTCAGTGCTGAGGCTACCAAGAGAGGAGGAAGCAACCAAGCACCCCTCCATCATGCCTGCACAGGAACAAAAAAAGCCCCATGGACAATATCTGATTGATACACTGTAAGCTTGGCAATCTATTTCTGGGGCTGGAGGGTATTTTTTTACCCAAGGCCATCACACCTTGAAGGAGGAACAAGAGTCAGAACAGCAATGGCAGGAAAATGTATAAGACCGTGGAGAAGACATTGAGGCATGGCAGTCGGCTTTATATGCAGGCATTGCTAATTTGTCGTATCTTGTGGATTCTGTGTGCTGCTGTGAGGCCCTTATACAGTGAAAAGGCAGGGCTAAGAACATCTTTAAAACAAACTCTGTGAGCATTAGCAGAGTGGGGCCTTCTCTGCTACTCCCTGAAAGGGAATCCATTCACTGTGGACTAAATTATAATTTTTGTTGGTAGAAAGAAGACCAAAGGGGAACTCTAGGATATCAGCACATAATTTCATTTCCCATGATGCCCTTTGTGGGCATGAGGGCATAACTTCAGCACTTGCCTTTACAGAAGTACTTGACCTTGAGAACGTAGCCCAGATCCCACACGATCTCTCTCTTGGTCACATCCTTTCTTTGTGACACCTTTGGCAAAAGTTTTTAATTCCCCAACTGAACCTTAAGTCCATGAAACTGGAATGAACACATTCTTCCCATACAGGTAGCCATAGGGGGACCTCAAAACGAAATCAGTGGCACCTTAAAGACGAACATGCACTTTCCATTTGAGTACAGCTTCAATACATGTAATTTCCCTTTAAGAAACTAGGTTTACATTTGGACATATGAAAGCTGGAAAATACGTGCATCGCCCTATCCACACAGAGTAGTGACTGTGCATATTAGGATGACTGTATGTAGCACATACTTTCATTCTGTGTGTTTGGGACACCGAAACAAAATATCAGAAAGGAAGTATATGAAAACTGTAAACGTTCTAACTATATGGGTGGGACGGAGCCACTTCATCTGAATGCAGAAGCAGCCCTTGGCAACATCAGGTGTTCTTACTTCATCTTTAAGCCTCGTGACATGGGGTCTGGAGGGGGCTTCCTGACATGTCACCCAGTACACTTTCCCTCTCTTTCCTCTGACAGCCACAGTGCATTTCCAACATACCGCTGAGCTTCTCATCCAGCTGTTGGCCGTGGAGTCTAACTACTCTACTCAGGTAGGATATATTGGCAAGGAAGGACCAGTTCCGTCTCACTGGGAAACCTAGTTTATCTCCTCAATACCAATGAATCAGACAGGTGTAATTTTCTTTTCATCTCTTGTTGATTTTGGGAGACATTATGAGTGATCTTTTGAACCTGTTTGATTCTCATACTTACATAGGCATGTGCTGACCAGTTGCAACTGACTTATGGTGGTGACCCCAGCAAGGGGCTTTCGAGGCAAGTGAGAAGCAGAGGTGGTTTGTGTTAAGTCGCTCGCTTAACAAAGCAGTCAGAGAGTGATTCAGCAAGAACACAACTTTATTCTTCAACTCGAACACAACTCCAACACGGATCAACATCAGATAGCCAGAACAGCTTTTACATTGCAGCTGTCCTGCTTTTAAACATTCCCGGCTAATATAGCCACACCCACTGTACACATATCAACCTATGAGGTTGCAGAGATAAGGTCCAATCACCTTAGTTCCCGCTCAGGGAGCTTGCATGAAGTGATTGGCTTGTTACTTCCTGGGCTAGCAATACTATTGGATGACTTTGGATCCTAGCCCAGGACGAAGCTTTACATCACATTCCAATTAGGTGTTTCACACATGTTAGGCATTCAAGGCAGCTTTGGATACACTACAGTTTGCCAGTGCCGTCCTTGGTGGTCTCCCATCCAAGTACCGACCCTGCTTAGCTTCTGAGATCTACAAGATCAGGCTTATACCATGCTGCCTTCCCTCCCTCATAATAATTTAGCAATCCATATTTCTTGTCTTTGTCAGGGGAGGCAACCTTTTTTTGGCCCAAGCGCCCAATTAAAATGAATCATCTACCTATGGAAATGTTGGTGTGCCAGCAAACAAGACGGGGTGGGGAGATGAGGGTGGTATTTGGCCAGCAGTACCACCAGCAAGCCAGGATTTGCCTTGGATTCAGCTGGTGGCTGGGCAGGTTCTGGAGGGTAGGACAGTCGCAACCATGCGGGCTCCACTGAGCCCCACAGTGCTGCCAGAGCCTTGATTTCCTTGGTGGAGATTTTGCCCAGAATGCGAAGCAAGAGGCCACTGCTGGCACACATGCTGGGAGTTGCCTACCCATGCTCTTGAACCTATATGAGCTAGACCACAAGTATAGATAAATCACATCGTCCAAAGCTCCTGGGACAGTTCCACTTCACTGAGGGAAGCCAGAATGTTTCCGCATTTTAGAACCCCTCAAATGTAGAAGACTGGCATGTCAGGAAGAAAACCAAATGAAACCTGTTCCTGGACCTGCTAGTTTTTCTCTGAGCAAAGAGTTTTTGCCACGTGGGAAAGCATTTAAGCATACAGTTTCCTACATGCATTCCCAAAAAAAGAGTTCCAGGAACTCAGTACAAAGTGCCGTATCTGCTTCTGTAGACTGACCCCAAAATTGTGGCAGATACTTAGTTCAAATCAATTTGTAAAATCGGGTCACAAACGCACATACTTTTAGCCCACATAGCGTTTGCCTGTCCAAGCCTTGAGATGCTCTGGAAGTTGTCTAGAAGGAGACATTCTGCCTAGTATGTGTTTTCCTACCCACCATTAATCTATGAAGGGGAAATCCACACCTAGTATAACTCCCTCTTCTGTGCTGCTATTTGTGGCATTGGGGCCTGCCCTCTTGCGGTCTGGATGGACAGAAAGCCCTAAGAGGAGTGGATGGAGCCAAACTTTTTCAGACTGGTTTGAACTGGCAGCTTCTGCAAAAGGCAGGAAGAGAAGCAGACTCTGGTCTGGCCTGCCCCAGATAGGCTCCCTCAGTGGAGCACAATATAGTGGAATGGTGGGAATAGCATCTGTAGTAGGATTGTGCTTTACTTCACTTTCCTCGCACTTTAACAGTGGCAGACACAGCTTTGCCTTTGAGAAGACCCAGCTGCTAAGAATGTTTCCGCATTTTAGAGTTAGTGTGAGCTAGCTCACAGTTTTTTAGCCCATGGCTCACACATTTTTTGTCTTCGCTCAGGAAGGAGGGCTCCAGAGCAAACTAATTTATGCAGTAGCCAAATCGCTCGCTCACAACTTTAATGCCAGTAGCTCACAAAGTAGAATTTTTGCTCACAAGACTCCACTGCTTAGAGGGAGCATTGGCTGCTACCACAATGCAGCGGTAGATGAAGAGAGCATTCTCACCTTTGCCTTCCTTATTCAAAGGCTGTGATCACACGGTCATTTTCATTGGGTTTCACCACTGTTCCCAATCGCATTTAAAAGGGCTGATCAGACGGCCGCATCTCTCTCCTGTATCGAAGCAGACTCACCCCCGCAATCCTCCTGGTTTCCAAGCAGTTATTCCAACACCGGGGAAATCAAGTACTTTCCAGATATTTGCACTGTGAATCCGCAATTTCGCCAATCTGGATAGCCATCTCCCGCTATGAATGCGGTTAGGTCGTTTGAACGTCCTTCATGCACTGAATCCCCCCCCCAGTTTTCACCATTGTGTGCATGATCAGTCCTGCACTTGAATATATTCAATTCATGAACATTCAAGCACACATATATGGACTACAGCACTCGGTTGTACATCGGTGGTTCATTTTGTTCACTGTTTGGGGAGGGGGAATTGCAAAAACAAGGGAGTATAGTGCGTCCATGTGGGAGTGGCGATTTGGTCATGGGCATATGTGCATGCACAAAGAATTTTTTTAAAGAATTTGCGCCGCACTGCTGCTTGGGTGGCATGGCTATCTAGACAGTGCCTGGAGTCTCGTCATGTGATGCAAGTGGTTCAGGGAGGGATGTGTGATCATCCCAACCGACAAAAAAATACCCTCGATCAAATATACAATTGGAACAAATCGCGGTAAGCCAGCCACATAACCATGGAAACGTCTTTGGACAGTGCTGGCTCTTCGGGTTAGAAACGGAGATGAGCACTGCCCCCTAGAGTCAGATTTGACTGGCTTTCGAGCAAGGGAAACCTTTACCTTTACCTTCCTAATGTTGGTTGCTTCCTATAAGTTCTTACTAGAATGAAATAATGCACAGCTTTTCTTTTTTTTGCCTCAGAAGACAGCAACAAAAACATTACTAAGTACAATGTGTCTGTTTACTAGATCTACCCAGATGAAGGCCACACCTTTTTGGATACCAGCCAGCGCCACCTCCACCAGACGCTTTCTGCCTTCTTTCAGGACTGCTTCAAGGACTCAAAGCAGGAAAACCTGATAGCTGAGGAAGATGATGACTCGTAGTTCTTTTCCAGTGAGGGATGCCAAATGTAACAGAATGCTGTGCTGTGACGGCCCTTGGCAGCAGTCTGTACATCCCAAAGACCAGGGCTGTGTCTTTTTCAGTCATACTATGCAAGCACACAACTGGTATTGATTGCAGAACTGAGCATCTTGAAAATCTCAGTATAGTCTTTTTTTTTGGGGGGGGGGACAAGTTACGAGCCCTTAGGGTGCTTTGAAAGTGTGTATTAAATCCTTCGGGAAATCTCAGTTGTCCATAAGGATCAGCATTTACTGTAATTGGGATGGGATCAATGCCCCAGCATATTCCTTTAACCATTTAACCAGCAATCAGAAGCAGAGGAGACACCAAACAGCATATGACCTTCAAATTGTGTGATTGAACACCAAATGTGTTATTTGGTTCTAAAAAGCAACTACAGGCAAGGCCAAGGTGGATTGGGGACAGGGTCCTGGGGAAGAGGGGGGTAATACCCTCCTTGTGCCGTTACGTCAATCACAAATACCCCTCCCAAGGCCACTTGAATCCCCAATAGTATAAAAGACAGGCACGATATGGGTACATGCCTTTTTCCCTACGGAGTTTGTAGCAGCAGAGGGAGCATTTTTGATCCGGGCTATGGTACACGGGGAGGAGACTAAATCCTCCTTCCCCACCATTGCTCCCCTGATAGGTATTTTCTCCCCTCACACTGCTGGTTTTCTTTTTTCTTTTTTTCAAGGGCCAAATTACACAACTGATGATTCAGTCCTGGTGTACTCCAGCATACCAGGTAGTTTAGCCCTAAGTTATGTAGCAGATGTATGCAACTTTGCTGTGTTGTATAATATATACAACTTCCAGAATTAATTTTTTCTTATCCTCTGAGAACTCAAGTCCCAGGCACACAGGGTCCAATGTGGGTCTGGACTTCCACACCTGAGAAGAGGCTTCAGCTTTTCCCCTGTGCCACTTTGCCAACCTGAAATTACCCCTGGATTGCTGCTCTTTGCCTGTTGGGGGCTCCACATGTACTGATGGGTGAAGGTTTCCCCAAATTTATTTATTTATTTATTTGATTTTTACCCTGCCCTCCCTGCTGAGGCAGGTAGGCAGATTGTTCTCCCCTGATATTTTGGGTCAGGAAAATGGCATGGGGAGGGGGGTGAATTGAGTTCACAGCAGGGAACTTTCAAGTGCATGATGGACAGCCTTTGTAGCAGACTTGGGCCCAGCCCAAAGACTGTGTCATTCAGCCCTTCATTGTGAACTAGGAAGTCCCCTGAATGAAATCTCTGGACTCTTCTCTGAGCTCACTACTAGATGGCTTTGTGAGAGCCCCCCACCCACCCTGAACAGAAGCCTCCTTCTAAAAGAATGAGGGTGATTATACTGTCCTACCTCACAGAAGCATTGTAAACAGGGGGTCATTTCCTGTGGGAGCGCACAGGAGCGGAGCTCCGGCAGTAAGGAGCCCAGGGGGTGGGCACATGCAACAAGCCCTACCCCCTACTCCCAGCAGCCCTCAGTCGGGCCACAAGGAGCAAGAAGCAGCCTCATCCCGCCTTCAGGTACATGCTCTCCCTCCTCTGCGAGGGCAGATCTGCCCCTTCCCCCCCCCCCAATAGCTAGCAATCCAAAACAGTCCAGTGGAGCCTGAGTGGTGGGTGTTGCCTTCTGACACACTTCCGGTGATGTCAGGGTGTGTGGCATATGCAAATAAGTTATGCAAATTAGTTGTGCTAATGAGCTCCTGCACCTCTTTTTCTACGAAATGACCCCTGAATGTAAATATTACTGAGTTAACACATACAAAGATTTTGAACACTCTGAAGTGTGATATGAACTCTAAAAGTTGTATTTATATTTATTTTACTTCACTTATACCCCACTGTTCTCCCCAGGGGGAACCTAATGTGGCTTACAGCATTCTCCCTGTCTCTGTTTTATCCTTACAACAATCCCTGCATGGTAGGTTAAGGTAGGAACATGGGACTGGCCAAAGATCACCCAGCCAGCTTCCATGGCAGAGGGGAGATTCAAGCCTATGTCTCCCGGATCCTACTCCAGTGCGCTAACCACTACACCACGCTGACGGTCTTAAGCATCATTAATGTTCTTTATAAAAAGCACATGGAGCCATACAGGACAGTTGAAAGTATCTTCCACTCAGAGTTACCTGGATTTCTTGTGGCAAGTGTGGCAAGCTAGTTTACATTTGTGGAACAGACATATCCTATTCTTCATGCTGTAGGAACTCTGAACTGGACATGGTGACCAGGTGGGTTTCTGTTCTTCTAACAGTAGTGTGGAAGAGGATATTGCAGCAAGTCCAGATTTCACAGGTCACTCTTGGAATAGAAAGCTGGAGATTGGGGACCAGTGAGCCTTGATTATCAAGGGCCCTGGTTCCTTTCATGCCATGGAAGTTCTTGTCATTTAGTTCACAGAAATGAAGCAGCGGGAGCTTTTCCCTGCACCAGACCCCAGCTTCAACTGCTGCACAAAAGACATGTGGCAACACTATAGCTCTGGGCTTTGGCCACCCATTCCCAGGAAGCTTTTTGACTTTGAAACTCCTCCCTGGTCCACAAGCTCTTTGCATGCCACTCCTAGGTCCATCGAGCAGGACTTGGTAGAGCCCTAGTGACCCTTGACCCTTCCTGGTATTCAGCCAGATCTTGCAGCACCAGAAGCAGCAACACCTGGAACTGACACATACCTGAGAAGCTGAGGGGGGAAACGAATCAAGGTAACTTTGCTTAAATCTTTTGCAGAGAGTTTTATTATTTTTCTTTTCTTTTTCTTCTTTTGTTGTAAACACAGAAATAGTACAAAGCTGACATGTTGGGTATGGGTTTCGTTCTGAGAGGCACATGCAGTTTCCCCTAAATTTGCTCCAGGTTCCTTCGTTGCCTTTGGACACCCCTCCAAATAATTCTTTGCAAAATTATTTAGCACTGCCACCTTTTAATAACTCTGTTCCTGCCTTGGGGGGGAATTAAAACAGTACAGATTTTGCTGCACTACAGCCCTCACTGAAGAGGCAGAGTCCCATAGGCAAAAAGTCCCGTTCCATTCAGTTCTTCAGAACAATTCTATGGCTCCATAGGAACCGCCTGCCCCCCTGTAAAAAAAGAAAGCAGATAGCCTCATCCATAACATGTGCATGTCCCCTTTCAGGAGGCTGAGAGGTGAGAAATGTTCATCAGGTAAGATTTCTCATGCCAGAGTTTGCATAGGGAGGGAAAGTATGACCAAATTTGGGAAGGCAACATTAAAGATTTATGTGGAGGAAGGGAGGGTAATTGCCTTGTGTTTGGATTTGTACAGCATCAGGTTCAGTTTTGCATGTTCCGTCTGACGCTTTGCACACATGTATTTCTGTAGTGTAGCCTCTCCAGGTATAATCAGCACTTCATTTCCTATATACATGGTTCTGGTTGACATGCATGTTAATAACTTCAAATGATAATATGGGTGAATTGGCCATCACCAATATAACATTATGGATAAAGTTGCATACCATACTTTTCTACAGAGTGAGTTCACACGTTCCATTCTTAGTCATCAAGAGTACACTAATGAAGTACAGAGAGATTCCGTGATGTACATGCATGTGTGAACTGGGCTTCAGGACTAAATACACATGTTGGCCTCTATAGGAGATTGAAGCAGGGTGCAGTCCCCCCCCCTCCTGTGTAGGTTACTCTCCTCCCCCCTCCTGTGTAGGTTACTCTTGATCCTGGAGCCCCACTCAAAAAAAGTTGACGGTTGAAATTGTCTGTAAAAAGCAACAGGCAGGTTGGACCTAAAATGTTATTCCAGATTATTTTCCAAACATTTTCTGATAATGAGGGCTAACAGATCTTTGAACCATTTTTTTGGGAAGGGGTTCATCACTTTAGAGAGCCTGTGTGGCACAGTGACTAGAGTGGCAGAGTAGGATCCTGGGTAGAACCCTGAGTTTGAATCCCAACTTCTGCCGTGGAAGTTTGCTGCGTGACCTTGGGCCCATCACAGAAAAAATGGGGAAAGGGAGAAGGATGTTCTGAGCCACTTTCAGTTGCAAGTAGGGAGAAGAGTGGGATATAAATAATTATTTAAAAGGTGATAAGCAAATGCTAGATTCTTCCTACCGTTCTGTCAGTACTACTGCTAGCTAATCAATTTTAAAATACTGGTAATTCTCCTGTAGACTAATCAATGATATTGTATTTAGCAGTATTGGCATAATAAAGGTTGAGATTGGCTGATTTACCTTTCGGTCTTGATATGACAAAAATGTATTGCTTTTCACATGTTCTCATAGCCTTACCATATTCTTACTTTTCCCACCATTATGATATCTAATGTATCCTCTGTATTATATTGCTTTTTGGAAGAACAATGGTAACAATTCTATGCTTTTTAAAAGTTTATATTATGATAGAATAATAGATTAGGAACAAGAAAATCTAATGGCTACTTGCAAGCAAACTTGACTGAGAAAGTTACACAGGAAGAACTCAATGCCATCATTGAAAAGTCAGCCACAAATCAAAAAGCCTTATGAATAACATACATTACAGAAGCTAATCGGACATTTCAAATTATCTTCTTCAGATAAATATATGTTATTCTTTTCTCCAGATACAAAGCATGCTTCTTTCTTTCTTGTATGAAGCCACCTAAAGCAATTAAACACTTGCCTGGAAACTACCCTTCATACCACCAAAAAATAAAATATAATAATTGCTTCATCATATACAAAACCATGAATGTAATCAGTGAGACAGCACTGGAATGTTTCAAATTCACAAAAGTAAATAACAAGCTAGAAAGCCACATAATTATCAATCAAATGAAGAGCAGAGGATACCGGTTTCTCTCTAACAAGGCCACTCAACGCGAGGTCACAGCTGTAAAACAACTGTTGACATGCCTATTTAACAAACATACTCATCTTAAAGAGGCCAAAACAAGTCAGATAAAGGATGACAAATCCAACTGGCCTAGGGATGGAAGCCTGCAGGT